CACCCCGGCTCGAACGGGGTGCGATTGAGAACACACTCCCTCGACGCGGTAGCGAAACGTGCGGTCACTAAGGAAGTCTCGTATTATGCATACGAGACGGTCGGGTACTCCGTACTCATATAGCTTGTTTATGAGCCCGTTGTGCCATACTTTATCGAACGCTTTTGCAACGTCGAGAAAGAGAGCTCCGGTGTTAAGGCCGCGTTGGCGTTTGGCAAGTATGTGTTCCGTGATGCGGTGCACTTGATGAGTGCATGAGTGTTTGGCGCGAAATCCAAACTGCTCGGCAATGGGCATGCCTTTCGTATCCATAAAGGAACGAAGGCGGGCTAAAACTAGTCGTTCATAAATCTTCCCAAACGTTTTGAGAAGGCTTATGGGGCGATATGAAGTAGGATTAGAAGGCGGTTTTGAAGGTTTGAGGAACCCTATGACTACGGCGTCTTTCCACTCGCTGGGAAAGACGCCTTTGGTCATTGCCGCATTAAAAATGGCTACGAGGAGTTGTATAATAGTAACGGGAAGCAGTTTGGTCACCCTATTGGTGATGCTATCCGAACCGGGAGCTTTACGTGGTCGCAAATTTTTAATTAATATCTCGACTTCATCGCTGGTAACCGGAGTAATTAAGTCAAGTAGAGGCTCGCTTTTTCTCCTGTCGACCTCGCTGTCCACCTTTCGGAGGTGATCAGGGTCGATCGGTAGGCTACTAGGGGAGCACTGGGCTTCGAGACTGTCAGCCAGGCATTCGGCTTTCTCTTCGTCCAACATGGCTGGTGTCATATTTGAACGAGAGAGTGGTGGCATCGTCGAGTACGTGTCGCCTTTAAGTGACTTGGGAAGTCGCCAAAAGGCTAAGTGGGATGGCTTTATATTACGAAGTGTTAAATCCCACCGTTCGTTCCGGATAGCAGCTATGCGTGTTTTTACTTCACGCTGTAATTTACGTAGCTCTTTTCGGTTCGATTCAGTGGGATACAAATCGTGTGCTCGGGTGGCCGCGTTCTTGCGTCTCAACAAGTCTCTGGCATCTGGTGGAAGTGCCCAGCGTTGGTTGACTGACTCTGGCATCTGCCTTGAGCAGTCCTCTATGGCGGTTTGGATATGACTTGTTAGAGAGCCGATCGCGGCGCCCATATCGTAATCCGTGTTAATTAAGTCGGGGACAGAGTTTAGGTGTGGGGAATTTATGTCTTTGAGCTTGGCACTAAGTTTGTGCCAGTCAACGACTGTTTTAGTTGGAGGATCGGTTTGTGCCGAGGTCCCTAGCTTTAGTAGAACTGGTCGGTGATCCGAGTGAAGCTCATGAATCACCTCAACGTTACGTAAGGTTAGGTTGATATTCTTGATGATTGCAATATCAAGCACATCCGGAGTGTGTCCCAATGTATGGGGATAGTGAGTGGGCTCTAATGGCGCTATGAAATCAAAATCGAGTAGGTCAGACAGTGCGTCAAGCGCAAGGCCGCGATTACTGATTCTGGTAGAGTTCCATCGAATGTGTTTGCTATTGAAATCACCTGCAAGGATCGTGGCTCCTCCTAAAGATAGAAGGGATTCAAAGTCGGAGCGTAATATGGTTGCGCTTGGTCTACAGGGAAGGTAGACTGAAGCTATTGTAATGGGGGCGTGACCAGTCATGGCCAGCTGACAGATCGATGCCTCTAGATGTGTTAACGTGGGCGTATCGATGGGTACACAGTGCAGGGATTTCTTATAGTAAATAATAGTACCACCGCCTGGGGCGCCGGTTCTGTCATTTCTAACGATGTTATAATTAGAGACTTTAGGGTCTCTCATAGTCGGTTTAAGAAATGTTTCCTGCACGAGTAACACATCGACTTGTTGGTCGCGGAGGAATGTATGGATTTCGTCGCGTTGGTTCCTAACCCCCCCATTCGCGTTATAGAAGGCTATACTAATCGAACGCGGTTTGACTCTGCCATTATTACGCGCGAGAGACGGATCACTACAATTATTTAACGCGTTTGCAGCCATCGAGACGCCTAGTTGTGTTCGAGGGCACATACGATGTGCTTGTACTTTTTAATTAAGTACAGTCGGGTTCCTATATTTCCTGACGCTTTTTCGTATTCGTCGGTGAATGTTAGAACTTCCTCCATATTGAGGCTCGTAAGACGGTTGAGGGATTCAAAAGGATTCCCTGTCGTTTTAGGTGGCGTAGGCATTGCCGCCGGCTTGACCGGTGCCGGTTTAGGAATGGGCGTGGTACTCGCGGGTACGCTAGCCGTGGGAATATTACTGCCCCATGCGGGGGTTCGAGCATTCGTTTTCCACGAGGGTTGGAGAGGTGGGAATTCGTTGGCTGAGAGTACCGCAGGGGGCCGACGTACCGATCGCTGGGGTTGGTTCGGGCTACGCTTAGGTGCTTTTGGGCACCCGTGGTAGTTAGCGGTATGATCACCGCGGCAAAGAACGCAGGCGGGCTTTCCGAAAGCCTCTAAAAGTGATTTATCTTTCGGCCTAGAGCACTCCGACGTACCGTGATCTCCTAGGCACTTAACACACCTAGGACGAGCGAAGCAGTTGCGGGCCGAGTGCCCGTACAACTGGCATTTGTGGCACTGACCGGGGAGGCCATTTTTGCGTGGCGGCTCTACTATGAGCCCGCTGAGGCCACAGATTGACTTTACGTCAAAAATGGCCTTCCCTTCAGGCGACAGCTCTAAATGAACCTGCACTAAGTCAATAGGCGATTTTGTTCGCCTATTGGTCATCCGGAAGACACTTATGACCGGATATTTCTGGTCTTTAAGGGACTGGACTACGTCTTCAATGGGGATTTCCTTAGGGATGCGTTTGATCACCACTCTAAGGATGCGCTCTTCTGCGAGTGTGTACGTGTGGTAGTACACCTCCTTTTCCTGTAGGAACCGGGTTACGAACCTGAAGGCCTCGGCGGTCTCCAGTTGCATCCGAATGCCTTGGGCTGTAGCTGCGGCTACGACTTTAAATTTGTTGGACAAGGCCGATTGAATCATCGGCCATTTGTCCGGGGCTTGGATGTAAATGGGTGGCGGTTTTTTGTCCGTCAGCGCACGGGCTACGGGGGGAGCCGAATGGACAGCCGACTGCTTTATGGGAGCAGTTTTGGGGGGCGCGACGGGCATTGCCATAAGGGCTGGAATCAAAACTGAATGGGCCGATCCGGATTCGAGCGGGGAGTGAGGGCGCGGCGCCTTCGGAGGGACGGGGGACGAGGATGATGATTCTGACGAGGGGGCGGGGGAGGAGCGCTTCTTGCGTTTTTTCTTGTTACGGACTTCCGTAAACAGGCCTCCTGTGTCTTCCGGGTTCTCGGGGGATAGCGGGGAGTCTAGCTCCATTTCTTCAAGGTCACTACCCGATGATAATGACGCATCGCTGATGGGGTCGGTCTTGGATGGGCCTGCGCGAACTTCGGTTTCGGCGGTAAGCGCCTTAAATGCGTCAGGGAATTTTGCCCTGAGGAATTCCAGGACGGCTACGAGATTTAGGTCCGCCATTTGGACATGTGGTGGACCTATACTACATATATATTAAATTCTCCCGGTGGGATGCCGGGGTGTGTATCCCTAGCTCCCTCCCTGCTGGGTTATGCAGGGAGGATGTGTGCCTACTACGTGTAGCCCTAGTGCGTCCGAGTGCCGATCTTATTGTGCACTCGGGTGTGTACTTAAGTCTAACTAAAGCTACCCGTGGGCTCTAAAAGGCCAAGCGTGGACCAACGTTGACTAGGGCACTACCCAAGGCCAGTGGTGGAGGTCCCTTCCGAATTACGCGGTTCCCTGAGGGGGAAACGCAGGCAAACGGGGCTGCCTGGCTAGCTTCGTTATCACCGTTAGGTATCCGCTAGCCTTTTAAAATTGCGCTGTTAAGAAGTTGCTCCGCGCGGTGAAAACTGCACTTCACAATTCCTTTCACGCAGTTCCCGAAGTCGGAAACAATAGACGTTGCTATGTTATTAATAAGAAACTAGATAATTGCTTGCCAGGTGGCGGTGCAATAAATAGTTCCCTAAGGAACAATGAAATGACGACGTTCTACCTCGAAACTAGGATTATCGCTTGTCAAATGGCGGGCGCAATAAAAATTGCACCAACACAATCGGCTCGCGAACAAAGGATGGCGGCACCTTTTACGGCGCGCGCAGGTGCGGATTGCTCAACGAATTGTTGGGCGGTGCGACAGAAGTGAGGCGAGCGGACACGTCCTTTCACCTCAGCGGTCTGTAGCGGAGTGTGTAAGAGAAGACCAGTCGCATCTTACTTAAATAGGAAGTCATAAAAGGTACATTTAAGATGGAATCCTTTTTAATTACACTTCAAAGTAGTGGTACTTACAATGTTAACGATGTCACATTACACTTTTATGATAGGTAATGTTTTTGTGCGTTTGTATGTTTGTTTTAATGTATGTAAATTCGTATTGTGTTTTTAGTTTTCAGAGTAGTTAGTTCCTATAGTAATAAATCATATTTAATAGTAACAAGAAGATTAAAAAGCAATTTCATATCGTTTAAATTTCTAAGCAAGGTATACTACGCGCTGAAACATCTCACAAGTTCTAAGACCTAAGCTTACACAAAGGAAATATCCAACTAAGTACATTAATCCTTTAAAGATAAAATATTCCGCACGTGGTACATGCTTTGGAAAATTTATTTAAGGATTTGATGCAACATCAATGTTGCAGAAACGCACTTACAATTAAACCTATAAAATACAATAAAAATTTTAACAGTGGTAGAGCCCGCTTTAACATCTTCGCACAAATCGGCCCGGCTCGCCCGGTGAAATACCACGACCACACAGAAGACAGGCGTGAAGTGGAAGCAATTCCGCGTTTCATCTGATGAGTGTGCGTCCCGGAGGCCAAAATTAGTCGTCTTTCCCTTCCCACCCTTTTTCTTGTAAGGAAAGGATGGGAAGTGGACTTTCCGGATGAGAGGATGCATGGAAAGGGAAAAAATTATCTTTCTGTGCATCCTCTTCTCCGTCGATTAAAGGTAGGCAACGCATATGCAATTGCGTATGTCTATGGGCAACGGTCACTTCACTGTTTTAGCGATTTCAGGTGGCCGCTCGCTCGTTTGCCACCTTGTGATATAAAAAAAAACCTTAAAATATTATAGTTGCTAGTTTTACTGTTATAAAGGAATATTGCAAATATGGAATCATTTAGTTCAGACTTATCTGAAAAGAAGTAACTAATTTGTTAATATCAAATACAACTTATAGATAACCAAAGTGACAGCTCATCCGTCATAGGGTCTTATGCTAAGAAAACTTTGTAATATCACAATACAGAGTTTTCGCAATAGGTACTTAATATAGAACAAAAAGGCAATTTAGATTTTTATCGTATTTATGTCTTTTGTTTCATCTCATCACTTTTATAGCTTTGAGGGTTGTGAGCTGTATGTAGCATATTTAATTATTATCATACGTAAATGATGTTGAAAAAACATATAAAGTTTTTTTTTTTTATTTATAATAGGAAGCCAATATATTACATGAGTGATTACAATGTTATAATATATGAAAAAAAATATTTGTTTATATCTAAGAACACGTATCATGTAATACACTAAAAGGCTAACACATCTTTTTAACAAAATTATATGACAAAAGAAGAAGTTATCTTTAAAATATTCGTTATTTAAACATAACACTGTTTAAAAATAAACAGAAAAAAACTAAGCATTCTGTGACACAAACTAAAAAGAAAATCCACCCGTGTTTGCTGCATTAAAATTTTGAAACAGGCGTTCGCGCATAGTTCTGTTTTTAAACTGCCATTTAATCTAACTTACGCGAACACGAAATAAAGTTTTCGCAGCAAACAAGAGATGGTTAACGGATAATGCATTTTAAGCATTTCTTTGTTGCAGTTGGAAAACGTATCCTACATTATTTTCAAATGTAATATAAACTATTCTTATCGTATTTTTTACTTTTAATCGCTATTCATTTTAAAAGAAGAAAGAATTAATTAATAAGTGTTTATACGTAAATACTACATACGTAGTACATGTATACACACAAAAAACGTCTGTTCAAAAATCAAATTATTATTAAAGGATGGTTCCAAAACTTACAGTTTATAATATGACGATGC